CTGACAATTTTGAGAAAAAAAACAATATTTTTGATTTCTTGCTATTAAACATGTCCAGAAATTTTTTTTTAAAAATCAAATCAAAGTGGAGCTAAGGTCGCCTCCTCATCCCTTTTCCACTTGCCCTCCAGAGGATTTACCCCCTTACTGACCAGGTCATCTTTTGCGTTATGGCGCTGCGTTACTTTAACTTACAATTACGCGGTCATGCAATGCTGCACCCAAATTAAATTTACATTCTTTTTTCCCCACAAAATTGAGCTTTCTTTTGGTGGTATTTGATCACCTATGAGTTTTTTATTTTTTGCTCTATAAAAAAAAAGTCTGACAATTTTGAGAAAAAAAACAAAATTTTTGATTTTTGCTATTTAACATGTCCAGACTGTTTTTTTTTTTTCAAATCAAATCAAAGTGCAGCTGGCAAGCTCCAAGTATTACCGATGGGGGGGGGGGGGGGGTGAGTCGTGTATGTAAATAATACAGTTCTCTCCCCTGTGAGCTCCTGCACATTGCTTTGTATGGATCTACATAGCAGAGCCATACAACGCAATGTGCTTTCTGTGAAACACAGACACAGCCCACATAGTAAAACAGCACACAGTTAACCCTTTGATTACCCCACATGTTAACCCCTTCCTGCTCAGTGTCATTAGTACAGTGTCAGAGCTTTTTATTGGCACTGATCACTATTGGTGTCACTGGGGATGTCAGTGACAGTCAGTTCCCCCCAGTGTCAGAATGTCCACCACAGTCCCGCTGTCCCGCTATAAGTTGCTGATCTCAAGAAAATTCTATCTATACCGCCATTTGTAAATGCTAGAACTTTCATGTAGACCAATTCATTTACACATATTGTGATTTTTTTTTAGCAAAGACATGTAGCAGAATACATTTTGACCTAAATTTATGACGAAATTTGATTTTTAAAATTTTTTACTGGACATGTTTATAACCAAAAAGTCCAAAATATTGTTTTTTTTTTAAATTGTAGGTCATTTATTGTTTATAGTGCAAAAAATAAAAAAATGCAGAGGCAATCAAATACCACTAAAAGGAAAGCTCAATTTGTGGGGAAAAAAGGACATAAATTTCATTTGGGTGCAGAGTTACATGACAGAGCAATTGTCAGTTAAAGTAACGCAGCACCGTATGGCAAAAAATGGTCTGGTCAGGAAGGGGGGTATATCCTTTGGAGGGCAAGTGGTTAAAAATAGTTCATGTTGATTGAGACAGTGAAGTTCCACTTTAGCCTCATAACACATAGAGGGTGGTCTTTAAAGGCCACGTGCTGCAAAATGTGTCTGTGGACAGCTGAGGTTTCTTTCCGCTCCCTCCTCACTGGCTGTGATTGAGAATAGCAAAAGTGAATGGCTGCCACTGCTGTCTCTGAGCCAATGAGAAGAGAGAGAGCACAGAGAACTGCAACTCCCGTGCACATCGCCAAATCGAAATCGGGCTCAGGTAAGTATAAGGGGGGGACTGAGGGGGGCAGCTGAATACAGAATGTTTTTCACTTTAATGCAAAGAATGCATTAAAGTGGTAGTAAAGTCCTTTTATCTTTTACCTATAGGTAAGTCTATAATAAGGCTTTCCTGTAGGTACTGTAAATATCTCCCAAACATGCACTGTTTAGGAGATATTTACTTGTGTGGAAGCCGGTGATGCCGTTGCATGCACACTGCACTCTCACTGGACAGCATGACGTCCATTGAGAGAGCTGTTCCGCAGCCGTGACACCGGCACTCATGTGTGGGAGTGATGTCATCATGGCTCGGCCATTCAAATGGCCGTAGTCCGTGAACCCAGAGGGAAGACCAGGTGAAGATGGAAGCCCTGTCAGTGCTAACAGCATGCCGCTAGAGGATTTCATTTTAAGGTAAGTCTCACATAATGTGCTCTTATGCAATGCATACTAGCACATTTTTACATTGCCTTGCAGGGGAAGGTTTTTATTTTATACTTTACTATCGCTTTAAGGTAAAAGCCTTCAGCCTTTACAACCACTTTAACTCTACAAACTTTTTTTTTTTTAAATGCCATCTGTAGGTTTGTGCTTTAATGTGCTAGTATGCACTAATCTACAAATCTGTATACGTAACAACAACAGTACAAAGCATGTAAAAAATAATGAAGATTATTAAAAAATTACTTTAAGGCTGCTTTCACACCAATTTGTTTTATTTTTGTTTTTGTGTTAAAAAAGCAGAAGAAAAACGAATGACCATGAAATCCTATGGAACTCTTCACACTGGTCAGTTTTAGGTCCATTGCATTTCTCAAATTCCTGCAAGCTGCATTAACCAGTTGCTCGCCGCCCTATAGCAGAAATACTGCTACAGAGCGTCAGGGCTGTGCAAACTCAAGCACCGGTGGCTACGGATTTCAATCACCGGGTCCCGGACGGAGATTCTCTGTTGGCACCTGGAGATCGCCGAGTATCACTGACAGGGGAGAGACCTGTGTGTTAAAAACACAGGTCTCTCTACTGTCAGCAGTAACATGCTGCTGTGTATGTTTCCCTAGTAAAACACACAGCACATGTTGTAAAACACAACACAGCACACTTTTAACCCTTTGATCGCCCCAGATGTTAACCCCCTCCTCCCCAATGTCATTAGTACAGTGTCAATGCTTTTTATTAGCACTGATCATTGTATTGGTGTCACTGGGGATGTCAGTGGAAGTCCGTTCCCACCCAGTGTCAGAATGCCTTTCTCAGTTCCACTATAAGTCGCTGATCGCTGCCATTACTAGTATGAAAAAAATAAAAATAAAAATTCAAGTATTTATTTGCCATTTGTAGATGCTATAACTTTCACGTAAACCAATTAATTTACATGTATTGGGATTTTTTTTTGTAGCAAAGACATGTAGCAGAATACATTTTGGCCTAAATTTATGATGAAATTTGATTTTTTTAATTTTTTTATTGGATATGTTTAATAGCAAAAAGTCAAAAATGTTTTTTTTTTCAAAATTGTCGGTCTTTTTTTGTTTATAGCACAAAAAATAAAACCACACAGGTGATCCAAAACCACCAAAAGAAAGCTCTATTTGTGGAATAAAAGGACATAGATTTCATTTGGGTGCAGCATTGCATGACCGCGCAATTGTCAGTTAAAGTAACGTAGCGCTGTAGTATAAAAAATGGCCTGGTCAGGAAGGGGGGTAAATCCTCTGGAGGGCAAGTGGTTAAAAAAAAAAACGCACCAAAAACACACCTTCCCATTGAAATAAATAGAAAACACATAAAAAACAAACCCACGGTTGTGTTTTTTTAAAATCACATGTCCTTTTTTCACACATGACATGTCCAGAGAAGTTGCTGGTGGTGGTAGTGGCGGGTGTCCTTTGGGAACTTCTGCTGGATCGTAATCCCATGGAAGTGGGAGCTGATACCTGACAAAACTAGGTACCTGCCCCCCAAAAATGGAAAAACTTACGCTTTAAGGGTAAAAAAATGTCTTGTCTTTAGAACCACTTTACCCCTGTACAGATAACATATTACAAAGTGACCAGTGCAACAAAAGTAAACCTGTATCAATTCATTCTTGTGTAACATAAAATGTAACAATTCTTTCCAGTTCATGTGAAAACAAATATATACAAAAGTCCACAGGTCTCCAGGCTGTGCTGCTAAACCCACAGTGTGCCAAACCACTCTGTCAACCACTGGCTAAAAATCAGCTGGTTCAGCAGGAACCATCTGACTTTCGGTTAGTGTGTACAGCTATCTGTATAAAAAAAGCCAATCTGACAACTAGATTTCACTGAAGGGACATGCTGGGAAACCAGCATCCAATCTGCGTTTCCAAGCACTGATCGGTGTATTCTGGCGGGGGGATCCCCCTTTCAGAATACAATAGCAAAGTGGGGTAGATCTCCACACCAACATTGCTTGTGTTGTTACAGCAATCTGTCAGGTTTTTTTTTTTTTTTTTTTTTTTTTTTTTTTTTTTTTTTACGTTCAACTTGCAGGTATGAACAAAAAAAAACCTGCTTTGCGTACTGGGTTTAAAGTCCCATTCACATTTCATATTTCCTGAACATGTGAAAAAAAACGCAAAGTATACAAGTGTTTTGCCGAGCATTTTGAACACGTGTGAAAAACATGCTGCAATCAGATGTTGCACTTGCAGTTCCATTATTTGCTAATGGCATTCCAAACGGAGTTAGAAGATAGGAATTTTGCCATATGTTTTGTTGTGTGGCAACCTATTCAAATGAAGCCTACTTAACGCTCAAGAAAACTGCACAAAGTGTGAATGGGGCCTTAGTCCATCTTCCCTTAAAGACACGTTTAAATCATGTTTGTGATTACAAATATCCAATTGGACAAACACTCACCAGATTGAGAAACTCCTTACTTTTATAAGTGGGTCAGCTGCACTTTTTTTACTCTTCAAATGCCTGTATTCCTATTCATTTAAACCAATTTTATAGCTATAGATATAGATTAGAAGAGGACAGAAAATTTCATAGTGTAAAATAATGTATTTAATAAAAACAAAATTAAATACACTTACATATTTCCATGCCCAATCTTTGGCACTAAGGTGAGACAGAGTGTATTATTGTAATGTACTGGCTCCACTGGCTTTCCCTGTCTGGTGTGAGTGGTACTGTGTGTAGGATGACATCAGAGTGCCTAAGCTCAACCGACAAAACCTGCAAAGCCAAACTGGAATAATACACCATGGCTAAGAGGTCCAGATACAACATCATTCCAACCTTAGATTGTAAGCTCCTTGAGGGCAGGGATTGATGTGAATGTACAATATATGTAAAGCTCTGCGTAAATTGACAGCACTAGATAAGTACCTGTAATAAATAAAAGTAAAGGGGACAATCTGGGCTACTTTTTGGATTGTCCCCCTGATTTTTCTGGAATAAAGTTGTATCTGGACCTCTTAGCAGTGATTCCATTTTTGTTACATTACACTACAAGCCACGAGGACCATGGAGATCTTCTGGGATGTAGAAGCTGTTAGCCATGAAACCAGATAAATTATATCAACATCATTACTGCAAGATGGCAATACCAGTGAGGTAACCCTACAGGTCCAACACTATATTTCCCCTTTGCTCAACTAATGACCAAGAGGAGGCCACAGCAGGGGCGGACTGACCATTTGGAAGCTAATAAAACATACATAATACATTACACATTTCTATCATAACATTCCCCAGTAATAACCTTTATTTTTGGTGACCTTATACCCATCCCCTTTCCTCTCCCCCCCCACCCTTTGATTATGCATTTTTAACTTTGTTCTAAAAATCTTATTCATTATCTAATACTGATATTATACTGTACTATATTTATCCCCTTTTCCTTCTTTTCCTATTTCACATATACTAGGTATACCTCTGACATTTTGAATTGTATCCACTTTTCCCATCTTATACGGAAGACCTCCATTTTATCCTCCTCTATATGGCACAGTTCCTCCACCTCAGGGGCGGACTGACCATTTGGAAACTCCCCAAGGGCCCGGGGTCAGTAGGGGGCCCCATGAGATGCCCCTGGTACCTTTTTCATAGGCTTTTTTGAGTTTGGGCAAGGACACAGGGGCCCCATGATCCCCTATTGCCCGGGGGCCCCATGAATTGTCAGTCCACCCCTGGGCCACAGTGGACCAACCTGATGCTCAAGACCAAGACAGAATAAATAGTTGCCAGAAGGAATGACTGTCACCAAGGGACACTGAGTCTGAACCAGCAGAAGGGTGTAGAAACAAACAAAAAAAAAGAAAACAGCTGGAAACAACATAACTACATGATAGGCAAGAAATAGACCAACATCATGAAATGATTAACATAAAAAACCCACTGGGGCAAATCTCCAAAAAAAAAAAAAAACAGGTTCCCAGAGGGAACTTGACAAAAAATGGGTCCATAACAGAAGAAGATTATATGTGAAGGAGGGCTATGAGACCCCTGAGACTTGTAGTTAACTCAAGGGTGCCAACTCTGAAGTCAGCCTGCCTAAAAAAGAGTGTTGGGTATACAAGAGGGGTCACTGTATAGGAAGGCAGGAATGAAGAGTATATCACAACTCCAGACTGATGAAATGGAACACATAAACAAAAGGTAGTGCAAAAAACCATTTTACTTGAACACTGGGGCCTGACAGAGAAACTCTGCAGAATCATTCCAACCTTGAGCACAAACCATGGTTCTGAATCTTTTATACCACTCTGGTCTAGTGAAGCATACATAGTCAAGCAACGTTGGGCAGAAACCTTAGTCAAACTATTAAGAGCATACACCTGAATAAAGTGGAACTTTACCTTACCTACAACAACTGAGAAAAAATAATATTCATTAGCAAGAACATACATTTCACATTAATAATTATGCTACTGAAATTACTGTGTGCTGTGAATTGCATCCAGCATTGCTCCTCTTTTTTCTTGCTGGAGGCTGCCATTTTGCTGAAGCCCAGAGTCCTTGAGTAGCAATAAATCTTTAGGCTGTCAGCAGGTTGGCCTCTACATTTTTGGCACAGTGCTGAAAAACAGAGAGCAACTGAGCATGTGCAGAGCAGGGTGAGGCAGTGTATTACTGGATTTTAAGCAGTATAGGCAGTTATTTTTTAATGTTTTCACATAACTATACCTACAAAGGGGGCCCACCTGAAGTTATCTAGCAGAACTTATTTTTCTTACAAGAGTTCCATTTTAAGACAAAACTGAGGAAGGGATCTGGTGGAGCTTCCCCAAGAATCTGTGGATCAGCTATGGAAGCAAGCCCTATGATGGCCTCCAGACATTGCCCTTAACAAGAGGCTCCTGCAGCAGGATCCCATTGTATCTTCCTGTTGACAATCCAGGGGAGCACTTCAGCAATGATTTCTTCCTGCCAGGCAGGAGATGAGGAGCATTCGGGTGTGTGCAAACCTCTCCCTCCAGTGTGGAGACTGCCAGTGAAGGAGAGCCAGGTGTCAATGCATTGTCTCTAAAGGGGACAGTGCAGCAGACAGTAATATTCTCATCATAGTTCTGCGTTCTGCGTTCTGCAATACTTATGTGATGTTCAAAGGAATCCAGATCAGGAAGCCAACTCGCAATAGGATCCCATGATGAACAGAAAGGCCTCTGGTTTGGGGAACCGGATTTAAAGCATAGCTTAATGCAAAAAAATAAAAAAGTGGAGTATTGGAGCATAGGTGAGCATTCTTGCCTTTAGTTCCGCTTTAAAGGATAAGTTACATGTTACACCCGTATTTAGGATGTAACGTGTAAGATGCTGCTGTGCTCCCTCCCCTCACACACCCATGACAGCGGACTGGGGGGAAGTTTTGCCCAGTTAAGCACGCCCTTCTGTCTGCATGGCTCAGCTAAGGGCAGATGAATTCCAGGAAGAAAATGCTAAATTAATCCTCTTCTCTTACTCAAGATGACCACAGCCAGAAATGCTAGGGAGTGTTTTTCAAAGTAATTTGAAAGCATGGAGACATTGATGGATGAGTGAGTTTGCTTTGAATATTAAAAAGTAATAACTAATGTTTTTGGTTTGTGATGTTCTAATGCGGTGTGGTTCCGCTTTAATGTCTGACGATGTGGAAAGTTGGAGTGTAGTCAGATGCATTCCACACCAGCCCAGGGGTGGACTGACAACTCATGGGGCCCCCTGGCAATAGGGGATCATTGGGCCCCTGTGTCCTTGCCCAAACTCAATAAAGCTTATGAAAAAGGTACCAGCGTCATCTCATGGGGCCCCCTACTGACCCCGGGCTCTCGGGCAGTGCCTGAGTTTCCAAATGGTCAGTCCGCCCTGCACCAGCCTGATCTGAGGGTAATTGATGATAACGAACATGGCTTATGGGCTCCTATTACTAATAATCATAACAAATCTGGATCCAGCAATATTTATCTGTCTTTAAAAAATGAATTAATATCACTGTTACAATCAAACAAAACTATCATAGATTTCACTGAATTTTTTGGCAATAGAAAAGTCACAGTCCTGCTGGAGTATGTTAATATTTCTTCATCTGCATTCGTTCCAATAGCCAGAGCTTGAAAGCCTGGGCACCAGGCGTGGGTCATTTCGCCCCTGTGAACAGGATTTTTAATTGAAGTGTTTTGGTTTGCCCCTTCACTGAGACCTAACACAGATATAAGCATTGTCAGCAATGAACAACGCCAGTATATGTTTCTCTTACATTCAAGATAAGGATGACAAAGTGTGCCTACCATTTAAAATGGTAAAACATTTTCAAGGAAATGGAATGAAGAAGTTAATAAAACGTGTTTTTTTTCTTTTTAGAAAGGTATTAGAATCATGTTTCTGGTACAAAACATTTGTTTTAAATTTGGCTCAAACAGGTAACAAATTAAAATTTAAAGCTTTTACATATGATTAAAAAAAAGACAAAAAAATTCCAAATGAGGAAGGGAATGAAGGAGTTAAAAAAAACTAATTATGGTTCACCAAGTGGTAACAATAGGCTAAAATGTTGTTAAAAAAATTAAGACTTTTGTAATTTGCGCAATATCCTCTTCTTTAAATCTATTAAGGGACACAGGAATTCAGAAACAGTTGGGTTTTACTGCAGCCTACAGGATGCTGAAACACTGGTAAACAGAATAATTTTAAGTCAGACCCATAAAACCCCTCCCACAGGGATTTTCTTTCTTGTCTATTGAAGGACAAGAAATTCAGAAACAGTTCAAAAGCAGTCCAAAATCAGTCCAACTGAGGGGGGCAATGGCCAGTGACAGCCCCAAGAATTCTGGGAACCAGAACTCAGAGGTGCCTGAAGGACCAATGCCTGAAGCTAGACAGATAAAGCCTTAGCTAGACAGGGAAATGCCACAACAAGGGGATGTTTGAATTAACTTCTAAATACAGTAGGTTGCAAATCAGCCACAAAAAAGGGACCTATCTCCTGGGGATCAGGTCCCATGAAGGCCTTTGGGTGTACTCTATCCCCTACAGGGGGCATTTACATTTGAATCCCACTGTGTTCTGCCTTCTGACATTCCAGAGAAGCACATACTTTCTTCAATGTTGGATATGAGAAGTGCAGAACCTTCACTCTGCAGTGTGGAGACCACCAGTTGAGACAAACCAGATGGCGATGCCTTTTCTGTAAAGGAGACAGTAAAATCAAAAGTAGTCCTCAGCATTGTCCAGTGTAGACTTGGCTACTTGATCTGCCACAGAGAAAGCTCCCAAACTTTCATAGAGGTTAAGGTCCTGCAACATGTAAGTGCCGTCCAACAGAGACCAAGTCTGAATACATACAAACAGTGGGAACTGGGGACACACACCAGCAAGTTGAGTCTTCCCAGGGTGGGGGGTAAGAGTACACACCATGCACCCCAAGAGACTGACAGGTTAAGCCAGGAATTCTTGGTCCAAAGTGACCACCCAGAATTCAGGCTCCTTGACAAAGAAGGGGAACCTGAAGAGAACTGAGAGTTAATGAAAAAAGGGAAAACTATGGAGGGTATTTCCTCAATATCCTACATGCCCTTAAAAGAAAGGAAGAAGAATTCTCCAGAGATATAAGGAAGAGATTAATGAACCACAGGAAGTGGACTTCTTTAGTGAGGATTTGAGCTGAACAGCCTTGTCCATTGGTGACAAACTGCTACCAACGCTAGACACCTATGAAGCCTGACTCAGTCGAATCTTGCAGATGTCAGGCTGACAAGAGTCCATAAAAGCTGATTCTCTTCTGACAAGATAGTCTGAGCTTTCCACAATGGAGATGCCATAAAAAGTCACTGGGGTGCACACAAGGTCCAGTGTATTGAAAATCAGCAGGTACCATCAGAGGACACTGATGTGTCAGGTTTTTATTAGGAAATGGAACAGTAGAAACTGGTCCCTGCTGACCTTGTAGATTGTAAGTTCCCAATGAGAGGGTTAAAAGTGAGGGGTACTAAGCATCATGAAGAGTTCAAGATTATCTGAGAATTAAGAACTCTCCTGAAAAGAGTAGTGTAAGTACATGTGGGGTACCACTCTTGAAGTCATTTTTCTACTAGAGTAGGAACAAGGGGTCCCATGGTGTAAGGAACCCAGACAGACCTGGAAAGAAATACTGCAGTAACACCAGAAAAATGGGGAGGGGCTGCTAAAGGAGATGCAAGACACAGGGGTTCAGCCTGTGAGTTACAGGACATGAGTGAGCACCCAGATGCAGAGGAGACAGACTGCCTATGGACCCTGTCTGTGACTGGATTAAACTGGTTTGAAGGAAGGAAGAATGGAGGAGTGTAGATATAGTGTATATCCCAAGCACTGATTAACCTTTTGGTAATATTAACATTACAATAAAACTTCAGTTCACAGGCTCCCCTGGCCCCTCGCTCCTGTTGGGTGCCCCCACAGCAAGCAGCTTGCTATGGGGGTGCCCTCTGCTCCGTGTGTCCATTCACATATGGAGCCGTGGCTTGGCCCCACCCCCTCTCCTCATTGGCTGACTGGCTGTGATTGACAGCAGCGGGAGCCAATGGCTCCTGCTTGCTGTTTGAACCAATGAAGAGGCAGAAACCCAAGACAGCTGAGGCTGGCGTTCACATCTCTGGATCGAGATGGGGCTCAGGTAAGGATTGGTGGGGCTGGAGGCACTGCTGCACACAGAAGTTTTTTTTACCTTTATGCATAGAATGCATGAAGGTAAAAAACCTTCAGCTTTTTACACAACCACTTTAAATTTAGTGTACATAAGAACTCTTACTTCTCCTGTCTCCCAGGGGACGAAGTACATGTCATACTTTGTTCCATGTTCCTGCTTGCTTTGTACATCTAGCTATGAGGTCATGGGTGGCCACTCCCCCTTCCCCTGCAGCCATTCAACAACATAGTTAGCAAGGAGGGGGAAACTTGATAACAGGTGCTTCTTTTGGGGGGGAACGGCAACTTATCCCTCTGCATTCCTCTTGCCACCACTTCTCTCGGACAATTACTTGAAGCTAAGACGAGCCAAGACAGCACCATCTCCTTGTACAGTGACGGAAATAAGTATTTGATCCCCTGCTGATTTTGACTGTTTGCCCACTTACAAAGAAATGATCATTCTAAAAGTTGAATGGTAGGTGTATTGTAACACAGAGAGACAGAATAGCAACAAAAGAAATGCATGTCTAACAAATTATGCACTGATTTGCATGTTCATGAGGGGAAATAAGTATTTGATCCCCTATCATTTGGCAGGATTTCTGGCTACCAGGTGTCTTTCATACAGGTAACAAGCTGAGATTAGGAGCAGTCTCTTAAAGGGAGTGCTGCTGTTATCATTTTGTTACCTGTCTAAAACACCTCTCCGCAGGAGCAATCAAACATCAGATTCCAAATTCTCCACCATGGCAAAGACCAAAGAGCTGTCCAAGAATGTCAGGGACAAGATTGTAGACCTACACAAGGCTGGACTGAGCTACCAAACTATTGCCAAGCAGCTTGGTGAGAAGGTGACAACAGTTGGTGCAATCATTCGCAAATGGAAGAAACACAAAACAACTGTCAGTCTCCCTAGGTCTGGTGCACCATGCAAGATCTCACCTCCTGGAGTGATCAAGAGAAACAGTGAGGAATCATCCCAGAACTACACGAGGATCTTGTCAATGATCTCAAGGCAGCTGGGACCACAGTCACCAAGAAAACAAATGGTAACACACTACGCCGACAAGGATTGAAATCTTGCAGTCCCCGCAAGGTCCCTCTGCTCAAGAAAGCACATGTCCAGGCCTGTCTGAAGTTTGCCACTGAACATCTGAATGATGCAGAGGAGGACTGGTTGAAAGTGTTGTGGTCAGATGAGGCCAAAATTGAGCTCTTTGGCATCAACTCAACTTGCCATGTTTGGAGGAGGAGTAATGCTGCCTATGACCCCAAGAACACCATCCCAACGGTCAAACATGGTGGTGGAAACATTCTGCTTTGGGGGAGTTTTTCTACTAAGGGGACAGGACAACTGCACTGCATCAAAGGGACGATGGACAGGCAATGTACCGTCAAATCTTGGGTGAGAACCTTCTTCCCTCAGCCAGGGAATTGAAAATGGATCATGGATGGGTGTTCCAGCATGACAATGACCCAAAACACACGGCCAAGGCAACAAAGGTGTGGCTCAAGAAAAAGCACATTAAGGTCGTGGAGTGGCCTAGCCAGTCTTCAGACCTTAATCTAATTGAAAATCTGTGGAGTGAGCTGAAAGTTTGAGTTGCCAAACGTCAGCCACCAAACCTTAATGACTTAATTTGTTAGACATGCATTTCTTTTGAATTTTTTGTTGCTATTCTGTCTCTCAGGTGTTACAATACACCTACCATTTGATTTTTAGAATGATAATTTCTTTGTGAGTGGGCAAACATTCAAAATCAGCAGGGGATAAAATACTTATTTTATTCACTGTAGAAACATGGGATAAACATTATGGTTTAGGTTTCGGCTATGTTAGAATTAGAGTAATGGTCAAGGATAAGTTAGTGGTAGGAGACTTGTAAATTGTGATGATGCTGGAGGTCTCGCACCCTAAGTATAAAAAAGAACACAAAACAAAACAATAAAAAATAACTCTTGGGGACAGGGTTGGCAATTAAACTAAAGATAGTCTAAAGGAAATAAAGTTAAATTCCCTGCAACATATTTATTGTTTATTTCTATTGCACAGTAACTTGTACATCAGTACAATTAGTTTTAGCACATCTGTGGAAGACCAAACGGTTTGATATTCGGATTATACAGCATATTTGCAGCTAGTGCTTTCATATCTCTCCACCACACAAGGGATTCCTCATTATACTGGATTTACCAAACATTCTGTATCATTTATCTGAAAGTCATGACAAAGGGGGCAAAGCAAAAGAGGCCAGCAGCCAATGTTTTATTTCACTTGGACCTTCATCACATTTCCAATACGTGAGTCAGACAAATATCATTTCCTTTCTGTGTTAACTCTTTCCTTATAGCAGAAATCTTTTCCTTTTATTTATTGCTATTGTGTCTGTGTTACTTACAGGAATGTAGATGTGTATTCCCTTTAACTATTTCTTAAAGTTAAATACCTGGAATTTGGAAAAAAACGACCCTATCAGTGGGACTTCCCCTACACTGCAAGGACTAACTTCTCATTTTTCTAGGGTCCCTGTAAAAATCTCTTACTTACCTGTAGCGCTACCTTCTTGAGGGTTGCTGGATTTTTGGGTCCCCCTCAGGGGCGGACTGACAACTCATGGGGCCCCTGGGCAATAGGGGATCATGGGGCCCCTGTGTCCTTGCCCAAACTCAAAAAAGGTACCAGGGGCATCTTATAGGGCCCCCTACTGACCAGTGCCTGAGTTTCCAAATGTTCAGTCCACCCCTGGTCCCCCTTAAGCTCTGCACAGCCAGGCAACATGCATTTTTCCACCCACTCCCCGAGTCACTAAAACAGTCCTTGAGCTTGGTTTTGTTGTTTTTATGACGGAATAACAATTTGGATGGGGTCTAGGGGTGTATGGGATGCCCAAGGAACTGTAAAACTTGAGAAAAAACTTTGTTAGCAAACACTGTACAAAAAGCGGATCAAAAATCAGCAACCACTCTCTTTAACCACTTGTCTACAGGGCACCCCTTCTTGCCCAGGCCAATTTTCAGTTTTCAGTGCTGTCGCATTTTGAATGACAATTGCGCAGTCATGCAACACTGTACCCAAACAAAATCACCACTGGGGTTTTTATTTTTTGCTAAACAAACTAAAAAAGACTGAAAATTTTGAAAAAAAAAAAAGTTGTTTCTTAGTTTGTTATAAAATTTTGTAAATAAGCAATTCTTCTCCTTTACTGATGTGCATTAATGAGGCTGAAGTGATGGGCACTGATAGGCAGCACTGATGAGGAGGCACTGATAGGTGGCACTGATGGGCATGGACAGGCATCACTTTTGGGCTTGACAGGCATCACTGATGGGCACTGAAAGGCATCACTCATATATGGCACTGATAGACGGCACTGATAGGTGGCACTGATTGTAACTGTTAGGCGGCACTGATTGTAACTGTTAGGCGTCACTGACGAGCACTGATAGGTGTCACTGACAGGCAATGACAGGCAGCACTGACTGGAACTGATAGGTGGCACTGATTGGCAGCACTGATAGGCAACACTGACTGGTACTGATAGGCAGCACTGACTGGCACTGATAGGCGGCACTAAAAAACAGCCCTGATGGGCACTGACATGTGTCATTGATGTGCACTGGTATGTGTCATTGATGTGAGCTGGTATGTGGCATTGATGGGCACTAACAGGTGACAGTGATGGGGCTACACTGATCATCAGGGCACTGATCATCAGTGCCTTGATGATCAGTGTAGATGTCCGCTCTGAGTAATGCCGATTACCGGATTTCCTCTCTTCATGAGCTGTCAGCTGGAGGAAAGGATTGCCAATAACTGGCATTTCCTATTTACATGTGATCAGCTGTGATTGGACACAGAGCTGACGTCATCAGCTTTTTACAGTGATCGGGGATCCACTGTGTCCCAGGGACACAGCGCACCACCGATCGCCACACCACGCACCCCCGAGGGATCCTGCCTGGGGATTGGCCAAGAACTCTCCAGGAGCAACACAGACAGAAAAAAAAAAATGCTTTTGTTTAGTAGAATAGATCCACTATTAGATTTCTATTTTCTGTGCCCCTTCTGCAGATTTTTTGCACATTCTGTCTGGTAAACCATAGTCAGCAAGACAGGAAGAGAGGGGAAATCTCTCTAACAGATTCCTGGATAGCATTTTACAGAGGTTCTAATCCTTGACCACTCTACCCAAATCTAAGAAAATAGATTTTGGCTGGTATATGCTTTAACCACTTGCCCTCCAGAGGATTTATCCTCCTTCCTGACTTGGCCATTTTTTGCGATATGGCACTGCGTTATTTTAACTGGAAATTGTATGTTCATGCAACGCTGCACCCAAATGAAATTTACGTTCTTTTTTTTTCCCACAAATGGAGCTTTCTTTTGGTGGTATTTGATTCCCTCTGCATTTTTTATTTTTTGCGCTATAAACAAACAAAGACCAACAAACTCTCACTCTTTTTGAGTTTTTGCTATAAAACATATCCAGTAAAAAATTAAAAAAATCTAATTTTGTCATAAATTTAGGCCAAAATGTATTCTGCTACATGTCTTTGCTAAAAATCCCAATATAGTAGTAATGGCAGCGATCAGCGACTTATAGCAGGACTGTGGGAGGCATTCTGACACTGGGGGGGAACTGACTAACTGTCACTGACATCCCCAGTGACATTAATACAGTGATCAGTGCTAATAAAAACTAAGACACTGTACTAATGACACTGGGCAGGAAGGGGTTAGCATCTGGGGCAATCAAAGGGTTAACTGTGTGCTGTGTGTGCTTTACTGTGTGCTGTGTTTTACTAAGGAGGTATGCTGTTTTGTATTGCTCTATAATGCAGAGCAATACAAAGAAGCATGCTGGAGCTGATGGGAGAGATCTATGTTGTTTACATACAGATCTCTTCCCCATCAGTGATACTCGGTGCCAGTGGGGAATCTCCGGCCGGGATCCGGTGATCGACAGCTATAGCCACCTACCCGGAAATACAAAATCATGTATATATACGTGATTTTGCAGAGCCCTGCCACCCCGTAGCAGTAGTTCTGCTATAGGGCGGTTGAGAAGCGGTTAAAGTACAGTATATCTAAAATCATTTTTTTCATGTCGGATTGGGTAAGGTATGGTTATAACCCTTGTCAGTTTTTATTGTGTCTGCTGTGTCCATTCAAGGGATTTCCCTTGACTTCCTGTTATGCAGACACAACAGAAAGTGTTAGGATATCTCTCCAAAGTGAAAAGAATGAACAATAGTTGCCACTGGAACAAATGTTAGCATTGTATTTTTGTTTTGGTGGCAACTCAGAAACTTTTGGATCTTCCTTCACTTTCACGTCCAAAAAAGCTGCAGCCACCACTTGCCTGTTATGGCACTCTATGGGCCGGGAAACTGCAGCTTCTGCAGGGTGTTCTAATTACCCATGAAAATGTAGACTTAAAGTCAAAACTTTTTTTTTTTTATCTAAGTTCTATATAATCTTTTTCAGCCAAATTTTAGAGAGCTCGTCAAATGTAATGTGGGTGGATCTTCTTTCATTGCAGGCTTTAATCTGCTTCTTGTGATGAAGGAACTCCACTGAACACAGCACTAACACTTTGATACATTACAATTTCAGCATGGTAAATTGAAAAAATGGCTTTCGTTTTTTAACATACACACCCCCTTCCCATGGGCCCTAAAGTTGCTAACCTGTCAACCGTTTACATAGGTTCATTTGATTGGCAGTATCTGGAGTGAAACTTTGAATACAGTCCTAATTTTGGTGGATTACTGTTTCATGCACCGCTGTTCCTTATTTATACCCCTATGCAGGGTGCGTTTGAGACTTCTTCTTCATCACAAAGGCTCCACTCACACTAGTACGACTCCAAAGTTGCATGACTTAATTTTGATGCAGCTTTGAAAATGGTGCAACTTGGATACCACTTTGGCTTTCATTAATGATAGCAGACAACTGTTGCATGTAAAACATTCAGATGCAACTTTCATACCACTTATGAGGGTTTATATTGCACTCAATATAATACGGCACTCAAGTTGCATGAAAGTTGTACCAAAGTAGTCCATGAACTACTTTAAAGTCACTGCAACTTTGTCATACATATTTGAATGGTTGTCTTTGAAAAACATGGTCATGGAACTTTAATGTCTAAAGTCACATGAAAAGTTGCATAAGTGTGAATAGAGCCAAAAGGGGTACCCAGATTACCGACAATAGGGAGGTGGGTGGACAGCTGCATGTAGTAACAGTTATATTCACCTTTCTGAGAGCTGAACTGTGTAACTTTATGTACCAGTTGTGAGATTGTGGTAAAAACGGTCAAAGTCAAACACGCTAAGGAGATTCACTTCACAGTGTCTGCCACAGACTTAACAGGCTCTTAATGTTAACAAGTGCCAGCATAATAACGTGAATATTGTGTTGCTGTATGGTTTGCTGTTATGAAACCTACAAACCATAACACAACAGCAAACACCAAGGTTAATCAAATAGAATTGATCAAATTATTGATTATGTGTATATTCTTATGTGTATTTGCTTAGTCTTGGATTAATGACTTTGCAAGTCAATGAAACCCCGTGTATATGTTTTTTATTGAAGAAAAATGTACAGATGAGCACAGGGGCAAGAAAAAGTATTTGAATCCCTTGGAATTAACTGGTTTCGGCAGTAATCTGCCATAAAATGTGTTCTGATCCTCACCTAAATCACAACAATAGACAAACAAGGTATGTTTAAAGTGAAACTTTATGCTGAAAATAAAAATTAGGTAGACAGGCAGGATTTTTAATGCAGAAGTGACATGCTTTGTCTTTTCTGCATTAAGTCTACTTACCTGCCTGTCTATCCTTGCACAGTAAGCCATGCACGCAGAGCTGATGGAATTCCTGTACATGCGCCGGTGTAACGTCTTCTGAGCCCAGCCAGCTTTAGCAGCCGGCCATAGAGACCGAGAAGTTGGAGATGTCAACGGCCGGTGATGAGTTCTGGGACGCATTGTTGGATTAAAGGTGAGTATAATTCCGCTTTACTTTGATAACACACAAACAATTCTAATTTCTTATGTCTTTATTGAACACATCCATTAAACATTCAAAGTGCTGGAGGAAACAGTAAGTGAACCCATAGACTAATTACTTAAATGAAAGCTAATTGGAGCCATTAGTTTGCACATCTTGCACCCAGTTAATGAAATGAGTTTGGAGGTGTGGTTTAGAGCTACTTTGATTGATAAAAGACACTCAAACATTATAAGATTGCGTTTCATAAGAAGCATCAGCTGATGTGAACAATGCCTCACAAAAAGGAGCTGTTTGAAGACATATGATCAAGAGTAGTTGATCTGCAGAAGGCTGGAAAGTGTCTAGGTATCTGTCAGTCAACAGTTAGACGAATAGTCTATAGCACTACCCTTAGGAGTCGCTAGAGTTTTGGGTCCACCTATAGTCCTGCACAGCCAGGCAACACAATTTACCTTCCAGACTTGCACTCCAGAGACGGTAAACAGTTCCCGAACTTGTTTTTTTTTTTTCAAATTTCATTAGGGGAATGAAACTTGGATGGGGATGAGGGATACATGGGATGCCCAAGGAACTGTTTAACTGAGGATAACTTCCTGAAACTATATACACAGAAGGGTTCTCTTCTCTTCCTGAAGAGCTAGCCAGCCTCTCCTGGTGTAGAAATCCAGGGACAAGGAGATCTGGAGTCTGACTCTTTAAAAGCTCCATCCAGCTGGGGATAGCCAGGTTTCCCACCCAAACACCCTCTCCCTTATTCCTTCCAGGGGGTGTAGAATTACTCACTTTCCCTCTTTTGTAGGCTGCAGGTTGATAACTGCTTTCAGGCCTTCTGCTAGGCTAGCTCCTTTCTTAGCTTCACAGATGTTACTCTCTCAGGGGACTGGTGAGGTCCAGCTTTCCTTCTGTCCGCAGCTCTCCTGGAGGCAGGCCTCTTCCCTGGCCCTCCTCCCAGGCTCCACTCTCCAGATCCTGCTCTCACATCTTCCACCTGAACTCTCCCACTACTGAGCAGGCGCGGTCACTCTTAAGGGCTGTCCTGACCTAAAGCCAAGCCTCCTGCTTGGGGATTGGCCAGGATCCCTTGAGAATGCAGACCAGCTCTTCCTCACCCCCACCCACTGAATTCTGGAGACTTATCCAAGTCTCTAGATCATGGGGAGGCTTCAGGGAACTGATCTGCAGAGCCTCTCAGCCCTGACCCAAATTTGACCCCTCTAGCTATTTCACTAGGCTGCTATTCAGCCTCTAACTAAAAAAATAGTCAACTAGCTCCCCTAGCTACCCATGAGGGTGCTATAGATGGATACAGTTCAGTACTGTGGCTACTCTTCCTAGAAGTGGGCAAGCAGTCAAGATGATTCCCAAGGCACAACGCAGAATACTCAATGAGGTAAACAAGAACCCACAAGTAAAGGCTTGAAGACATCACTGGAACTGTCAAACATCCCCTGTTCATGAGTCTACCATACGTAAGTATTTGAACAGGCAGGGTGGCAGAACACCACAGAGAAAACCTTTGCTCTCCCTGTGCCTGAAGTTTGCTAAAGAGCATCATGGCAAACTGTCTCTAATTGTCCTGATCACAAATATCACCAGGAATGAAAGAGAGGGTAAATCCAAATTTTTTTTGAGATGCCACCAGGACAAGTATAGAAGGGTAATCTTCCAATCAGGACACTTGTTTGTATAGTCAGCAATCTAAGAGGTGATATCCCTCACTGTGGAAAAACATCATCTCAGGTCTCGTTGAGTCTATAGGACAGGAAATGAAGAGATATCTCCCTAAAGGGACAT